CAGTAATCACCCTAGGCTCTTGTCATGAGCTGCCAAGGCTATGGAAGCCCCCTGAGTTCACTGACTCTGATAATTTTTAGACAAGGCCATGGTCAAAGTGGAAGTTCTCTCCTCCCTTCAGAGAAAGGTACCTCCTTCTTTGATGGCCCATTCTTTCCACTGGGATCTCACTTGCGGAGATCTTTCATTTAGGTTTTTTTTTTTTTTTTTCCCCAGAGTGTCTTGGCTTTCCATGCCTGAAATACTCTCATGGGCTTTTTAGCCGGATCCGCATGCCTTAAGGGCTGATTCTGAGGCCAGAGTGCTGTTTAGGACATGTGCCATTCTATGGGTCTGCTGTGTATCTCACTTCCCATGTTGGATCATTCTCTCCCTTTTTGATTCTATCAGCTAGTATTTGCAGACACTATTCTTGTTTCTGTGATCCCTTTGGTTCTTAGTCCTATCATTATGATCAATTGTGAACAGAAATTGATCACTGGGACTAGTGAGATGGCATTGGTACATGCCACCTTGATGGGATTGAATTGGAATCCCCTGGTATGTTTCTAACTCTACCGTTTGAGGTAAATCAGCTTGAATATTGCCCCCTCTTTTAATAAATAAAACCCCTCTTACCTTGCCAGGACAACTGTCACTTCCTAAGAAAAAAGACAGAGAGTAAGTTCACTGCCAAGACCTCAGTCCCATGGGTGATGTGATAGCAGCCTGTGTCTGGGGTTCTGCTCTGCCTCACTGCCCTGGGCTGAGGCTCCGAAGAGGATTCTGACTAGCTTGAAGCATCAAGGACATGTGATGCTTCTGGGGTAACCAGAAACACTGCAGGGGTGTTAAAGACGACTGACTCAGAAACCAGAATAGAAAGACCATATTCTTAGGGGGAGGGCAAAGCGGGGAGGCAGCTGCAAGTGGGCAGATAGCCCATGCAGTCTCAGGGAGAGAATGGCTGGGATAAGAGGCCCAGAAACCATCCTAGTTCCCTGTGGGCTTGAGCTGTTTGGGAGGGAGGGCTGGTTGGTTAATGCTGTGCTGGCTACCTATTCCTGTGTATGAAATTGAATTACTCTAGAATGTTGTGTTGCAGGGGTTGTGGGAGCCCTTACATGGGAACTGACTGTCTTAAGGCCCACTCAAGAGTGTACTTGAAGCCTACTTGAAAGTCGGGTGAAAGAGAGCCTGTCAAGTCAAGTCAGAACAATCAGCCTTTTCACACTAGAAGGGAATGGTAAGAACGTTAGAGCAGAAAGGACTTCTGGGACCATTTAATCCGCAGTTTCCCAAAGTGAGGCAAATGTATTGGGTCCAGGAAAGGAAAATGACCTAACCTAGAGTAATGGAGACTTGGCAGCTAGTCTCAATGTTCCATTCATTGTTTTCAGTTCTATCACATTTATTAAAACCTTCCCATGGGTAGACACTTATATAAGAGCTTTAGTGGATTTCATCATTTTTTAAAAGATTTATTTGAAAGACAGAATTGCAGAGAGAGGGAAGAGGAGAGAGATCTTCCATCTGCTGATTCATTTCCCAAATGGCTTGTGTCATGCCAAAGTTAGAAGCTTAGAAGTCCAGGTCTCCCATGGATTTGGGTAGTTTCCCACTGCTTTCCCAGGCACATCAGCAGGGAGCTGGATCTGGAGTAGAGTAGCCAGGATTAGAACCGGTGCCCATATGGGATGCCAGTATCAGAGAGGGTTGCTTAACCTGCTGTGCCACAATGCCAGTTCCAAATATCCATTTAAAATATGAGAAACCCAGTGCTCAGAAAGATGAAAGAACTTTCTTAGGGTTTCATAGTTGGTACGTGTTAGAATGAACACTGACCTGGGATGTCCACATCTGTTAATTGCCGGATGGACCATTCCCTCCTAATTCTGGGCTCTTCTATAGATTGAATGCAAACCATGTATGGGTCCAAATTCCAGTTTGTTTTAAATGAGAATATTACGGACACCAGGTTTGCCTTTGGGTTAATGGTAGCTACAGAGTTCTAGCTTTTTTCGCTTATTCTCTGGGCCCAACTCCCAGTCTCACCTGCAGCAGCTCCAGCGGCGAGCCCCGCCTCCTCCGCTCTAGTTCTGAGATCAGCTCCTGTAGGGCCTGGCTCTGCTGGGCCAGGTCAGCCTCTGTTTCCCCTAGGATTCTCAGTTGCTCCCTCTCTTCTGCCTCCAGTGCCTGCAGCTGCCTCTGTTCCTCTTCAGCCAGGAAGTTTTTCTGCTGCACAAACTCTGCATGAATCCTGGACTTGTGCATCTCAACCTTTGTCTTTGGTGTCCAGGGAAAGATAGAGGAGGTTTCTGTGAAAATCTCCCAGGCTTTGGGGGTAGAAGTTGAAACCTATTTCTGTCACCTGGAGACTCAAGTGAATAGGCAGACACACACACACACACACACACACACACCCTTTGCTGAGGAGATAGGTGGGTGAGGCTTTGGGGACTAAACAGAGTATGATTGGTGCTGGCATGTTGTCGCTGGCCTACACCCCAGCTGCATCAACCTTTAGTATCAGAGATGTTCTTCAACCTCTATTCCAAAAGGCAGTTATCACCCAGATCTGTGTTTGAATATCAGTCATATCTGATATTCAACCATTCCCAGAGGTTTCACAGAGATGGGCTCACAGTGCTATTCCCAAGTCCTGGCAGAGGGTGACTTTGGGACACTCTCTGCTCACCTTCTCCTGCTGGTAACTGGATGGTCAGCTCATGATGTAGGATGGCCCCCTGTGCCACCAAATCCTGACTTACCCTTCCCCACTCCCAGACCTCTCTTCCGGGAGCCCGTTAGCCTCGAGTTCCTTTCACTCTTCACACCTCCCCTGTACTAGCAAGTCACCAGTGGTGAACAAGCTTTACTTCTGCATTATGCTTTCAACCAGTGGCCTCGGCACAGTGATGCCACCACCTGTTCAGATTGGTTTTTCCATCTCAGGCCTGGATGGATCCTGGAGGTCTGCTCCTTGTAGCTCCTCTCATCTCCTTAAAGGCATAGCAGTGGGGCTTCTCTCTTGGAATACCCCTGCTCCAGACACTGAGGTTCTGATGCTGTCATACATACCCTGAGTCTGGGCTCAGAGGAGCAGGGAGCCCTAGGATGTAGCTTGGCCCTCGCAGAACAGTTGTTCAATAATTCTCTTTGTTCCTGATTGGGAGTTCTCCTGTGAGCCTCTCCTTTTTTTTTTTTCTTTTTTCTTTTTTTCTCTATTTGGAGACTAAGAGGATGGCTGGTTCCCAGAGGGTGTGATATGGCAATTATCATTCTCAGACATAGCTCAGGTTAAGGCTTTCTTGATACTAGGACCCTGGACTTTGCCCAGCCTTCTGACCCCCCCCCCCCCCATCAAGAAGTGTCTCTTGCCTTGCACTCTGCTCTCTTCATTGCAACATCTATTTCCAACTTCTCTGCCAACTCCTGCTGGCATCTTAGCTTTTTTAATGCCACCTGGAGCTTTTCCTGCCAAAAACAAAGTAACAGGTTAATCCCAACCAAACCAAGAAGTAGGGTGGAGTGGCTTGGGGTGGGAGATGATCATTCTGGTTCTTCAATAAAGCCTAAACACAGAGAAGGAGGGAGGACTGGGGTCTGATTAGGGTAGGCATTTGGTGGATAGGCAGACTGTGGAAAAAGCCCAAATCATGCATCTTACAAAAAAGAACTACTGGCCGGCGCCGCGGCTCACTAGGCTAATCCTCCGCCTAGCGGCGCCGGCACACCGGGTTCTAGTCCCGGTCGGGGCGCCGGATTCTGTCCTGGTTGCCCCTCTTCCAGGCCAGCTCTCTGCTGTGGCCAGGGAGTGCAGTGGAGGATGGCCCAGGTGCTTGGGCCCTGTACCCCATAGGAGACCAGGAAAAGCACCTGGCTCCTGGCTCCTGCCATCGGATCAGCGCGGTGCGCCGGCCGCAGCGCGCCGGCCGTGGCGGCCATTGGAGGGTGAAACAACGGCAAAGGAAGACCTTTCTCTCTGTCTCTCTCTCTCACTGTCCACTCTGCCTGTCAAAAAATAAAAAAAAAAAAAGAACTACTGGCATGGCAGGATGAGGGCATTTCTCACACCTAATTTATCAGGAGTCCACAAGGAAACATGGACTTCATAGCATTTGCACAGAGTGTATCCACTACTCTAATGAGAAGGTTGTGTTTAGACTGGACATGAAAGGAGGAAAGTATCCCTCTTTTCCCAACCTCTGAACTCCAGAGGTAACAAAACTCACCCAGCCCCTCTCCTTTGGATCTGTCCATGTCTCTGCGAAGGCCTCACCTGGTACTCTTGAGCAGCCGCGTCAATAGGGACTGTGTGGTGCTCACGGTGTTTCTGGTATTGGGCACACACCCAGCAGAGGATTTGCCCATCTTCCTCACAGAACAGGTGAAGTTTCTCTCCATGTATCATACACCGCTGCCCTTGTGGCTCATCCTTGGCAGCCTGGCTGTTTTGTTTAAGGTTGTCCACCACGTTGGCTAGATGCCGATTGGGCCGGAGGTTCCTGAGCAGAAAGTGATTCCGGCACACAGGACAGATACCACCCCCATCTTTCCCAACATTAGAGATACATTCCTGGCAGAAGCTGTGACCGCATTCAATGATCACGGGCTCCACCATGGGATCTAGGCAGATGGCACATGTGACCTCCTCCCACATCATTGCCAGGGGCGTTGCAGAAGCCATGGGAGTGACAGTCCTTGTTGGGCAGCACTGTGCAGACCTTGGGGTGCTCTGGTGGGGGAAGAAGGAACAGAAAAGAAGAGATCTGCATGACAGGAACACAATAATGCAAAGGAAAACAAGATGAGCTGGTGGTGCCAAGCAAGAGAAGACAAGAACATCAACCCAAACAGCAGGAGCCTCTCCTCCACAGTCTGGCCCAGTGATCCTGTTGGAAGAAGGGAGACAGAGTCCTCCAACGAGGAGAAAACGGGGGAGAGACTCAGATAAGTCTGCTGACAATTCTACTTCATCATGTCCATCTGGGTTACATCCTCAGAGCCTAGGTTGGAGGAGGTAATCATAGTATGAGCAGTCATTTACCAGGTGCTTTCTATGTGTCAGAGAGGAGCTATGTGCTTTGTATAATATCTTCACTACTGTTCAATATAATGGCAAGAGTCTCTCTCTGTTCTACTCCCATATATATGAAATACATAAAAATTCATGGGGGGGGTGGCACTGTAGCATAGTGGGTAAAGCCGCTGCCTGCAATCCATATAGGTGCTAGTTCCACTTCCGATCCAGCTCTCTGCTATGGCCTGGGAAAGCAGATGGCCCAAGTCATTGGGCCCCTGCACCCATATGGGAGACCTGGAAGAAACAGTAGGCTCCTGGCTTCTGATAAGCTCAGCTCCACCACTGCAGCCTTTGGGGAGTGAACCAACAGATGGAAGAGCATGCGGTCTTTCTCTCTGCCTCTGCAACTGTGCCTTTCAAATAAAATAAAATCTTAAAAAATTCATAAGGGGTCTTCAAAAAGTTCACAGAAAATGTATACTACGAATGGGTGCATGGATTTCCAATTTTTTGCACCAAAAGTAAATTCCATTTCCATTAACTTTGAAATATTCTGCTACAGATGTGAATATGTCTGTGCACTTCCTCTAGGGCAAAGAATCTTGAACCTAAATAAGTTTCTAATTGAACACCCTAAACAGCCTGCCCTTTCCCTTTCTAGCAGGAGATTGGGGACCAGTTTAGTAGAGTGAGGATTCTTCCACAGGGGGCTCCTCTGGGCACCCACCAGCTCCCTTACACCCAGGGTCACCTTTTCCCTTGGCCCAGTTCAGGTACCTGCACTACAGCAGCCTGAGCTCCACCCATCCCTGTGGTTTGTAAGTCACACTCAGCCCAGCCTCCTCTCAGGCAGACCGGCCAGTGCTGGAAGAATGGCTGGGCTTGGGTTGAACGAGTCGGGGCCAGTGGGGTTGAAGGCTCTAGGGTTAGTGAGTAGCTGGAAGAGAGAATCAGAGGCAGGGGAGAGAGACCCTCCCCCACCCAGGCAAGAAGGGGTACTGTGGTCCTGCCGGGTTCACTCACCTGATCAGGCGATTCAACAGCTCTCTATTTCACTTTCAATTTCCTCTAAGAGGCCAGTCTGAACGGAAAAGGGAGGAGAGTGGGAGGAGAAAGGGGAGGGGCCCCAGGGAGGAGGATGAGGGAGGGGTGGTGGGAGGGACAGGGCAGAGACTGGGCGGGGTCAGGGCGGAGGCAGGGGATGACCGGGTGTAGGGGAGAAGGAGCAGGGCAGAGAAAGAAAAGTGGGAGGAGGGAAGACAGAGCCAAGCCGGGGGAGTTGTCACAGCCCAGTTAAACCTCAGCAACATGTCATCTGGGCGTACACTCCTCCTGTCCTTGTCATCTATCTTAGTGAAAAAAATCGATGCTTTGACACCGGCCATCGCCTCGTACCTGAATGCTATGTGCACCTCTGGGAGATGCTATTAAGGAGGTTTGGATGCAAAGGATGCCTGGCTCTCTCCTTCACAGGCCTCCACCACCTGCTTCCTGACAGCCGAAACAGTTGCTTCCCATCGGACTCATGTTTCTGGTGACCTCCAGGGGTGGGAGATTTATTCCTCAGGACTCTGAGGCGGATATCACATGGGGCAGTGGTAGGAAGGGAGCTGACATTTTATTGAGCACCAGCTGGGTTCTTGTCATTGAGCTAAGGATATTTTCAGGTTATATCATTTTTATTTTTGATATTTAAGATAAAACAAATTTCATGTAACTCATCTACAGATTTAGGAACCTAGTGATACTTCTCATCCTTCTCTCCCTCCTTCCTCTTATTCCCTCAATTTTTAGGATGATCTTTCAGTTTACTGTATAACTCACGAGATTAACTCTTTAGTGTAGGGTTAAATAGAAAAAAAACCACTATTCTACAGTATGTTATTTTAATATGGGACATTTACCATCTTAACCATTTTCAGTTTGCCATTGAATGTCAATGAGTGCATTCACCTTGTTGTGGCACCATCACCACCATCTGCTCCAGAACATTTTCATCATCCCAGACTGAAATTCTGTACCCAGACAATAACTTACTATTTCCTTTCTCTCAGGCCCTGGCAATCACCATTCTGCTTTCTGTCTCTATGAATTTGACTACTCTAGGTGCCTCATATAAGTGGAATCAGCTTTAGAATATGTACCTTCACAGCTGGCTTATTTCATTAATATAACGTCCTCAAGGTTCATCCATGTTGTATCACATGTCAGGATTTCCTTCCTTTTTAAGACTGAACATCCCATTGTATGTACATTTTATTTATCCATTTGTCTGATGTTGGATACTTGGGTTCCTCCTACCTTTTGACTATTGAGAATAATGTTGCTATGTTAGGTTATATTATGTAAGTCACATAATAATTTGGCAGATTAAGGGTTATTATGGTTTATGTGAGGGGAGGGGTGCTGAGGCTGAATGGATGAAGCAGCTTGCTTGAGGTGACGTTGAAAACATTGATACATGTTTGTGGAAGGTGCAGGAAGACCCTCATTCTAGGGGCAGTATAGAGCTAACAGATTGTTGCATTGGTTCAAGCAGAAGCTGCGAACAGCTAATAGGGGCATGGTCAGAAACTGCAAAAGAGAAAAAAGGAAGAGTGATAAGGCCAGGAAAGTTCCCAATCCTAACTCAGAATTTTTGGTCCCTTATAACTTAAAATAAAAATATCAGTTGAACTTTCCTTAGTATTTATTATGGACTTAGGAAACCTAAAAAACTTCATACTTTGAAATTTTCAGTGGTTTTTCAGAACTTATATTCAGTGAAAGGCTATCAAGTGACATTTAATGGTCAGACGGTGCCACTGTACTCAGATTTGACTAAACAGTCCCAGAAAACAGAATGGAAACAGTTTAAAAAATCTAAAGCAAGAAGAGGGGCCAGGACTGTGCTGTAGTAGGCTAAGCCTCTGCCTGAGGTGATGGCATCCCATACGGGTACTGGTTCGTGCCCCAACTACTCTTCTTCTGATCCAGCTCTCTGCTATGGTCTGGGAAATCAGAAGAAGATGGCCCAAGTCTGTGGGCCCCTGCACCCACATGGGAGACCTGGAAGAAGCTCCTGGCTTCAGATTGCACAGTTCCAGCTAGCCATTTTGGGAGTGAACCAGCAGATGGAAGACCTTTCTGTCTGTCCTCCCTCCTTCCCTCCCTCTCTCTAACTCTACCTCTCAAAATCTTTTTTAAAAATCAAGCAAGAAGAGACCTGTATCAGAGCTTTTAGACTCTCAGAAAATAACTCTGGGTGATAGGCATTATAGCATAGTGGGTTAAGTCACTTCTTTGGATGCTCACATCCCTCAGAGTGCCTGGTTCGAGTCCCACTACTAATCAGCACTTCTGATCCACTTTCTTGCTAATGTGGTACTGGATGAAAGCCCAAATAGTCAGATTTCTATCACCCATGTGGGAGACCCAATGGAGTTCTTGGCTCTTGGCCTCGCTTTGGCTAGCTATCATGGGCATTTGGGCAATGAAACAGGGGACAGAAGTTCTTTGTCACTATGCCTTTAATTTTTTTATTTTTTAATTTTATTTAATGAATATAAATTTCCAAAGTACAGCTTATGGATTACAATGTCTCCCCCCCCACCATAACTTCCCTCCCACCCGCAACCCTCCCCTTTCCCGCTCCCTCTCCCCTTCCATTCACATCAAGATTCATTTTCAATTCTCTTTATATACAGAAGATCAGTTTAGCATACATTAAGTAAAGATTTCAACAGTTTGCACCCACATAGAAACGCAAAGTGAAAAATACTGTTTGAATACTAGTTATAGCATTAATTCACAATGTACAGCACATTAAGGACAAAGATCCTACATGGGGAGTAAGTGCACAGTGACTGCTGTTGTTGACTTAACAAATTGACACTCTTGTTTATGGCATCAGTAATCACCCTAAGCTCTTGTGATGAGTTGCCAAGGCTATGGAAGCCTTTTGAGTTCACTGACTCTGATCATATTTAGACAAGATTGTAGTCAAAGTGGAAGTTCTCTCCTCCCTTCAGAGAAAAGTACCTCCTCCTTTGATGACCTGTTCTTTCCACTGGGATCTCACTCAGAGATCTTTCATTTAGGTCATTTTTTTTCCCCAGAGTGTCTTGGCTTTCCATGCCTGAAATACTCTCATGGGCTTTTCAGCCAGATCTGAATGCCTTAAGGGCTGATTCTGAGGCCAGAGTGTCACTATGCCTTTCAAATACATAAATCTTAAGGATTGCTAAAAACCCTGTATTGTTTCCTGCAGGCATTGAGTAGCTACTGACAGGAGGGGTAGTAAAGACATAGGTTTCATAATAAGGCAGGTGTACCATCATTGCTGACACTGCTACTTACCAGCTATTTGCCTATCCATTTTCCTTATCAGAGATTTTAATGCATACTCTACAAGGTTATTTTAGTGTATGGCTAATAATGTGCACATAGATCATTAACACAACATATGCATAACTGTTACAGAAAATTACCAAGGTAGGAACTGTAAGACCAAATTTGCCACTTATAGCCTTCACTGACAGTACTTTTGTATTTCTTTTTTTTTTTTTTTTTTTTTTTGACAGGCAGAGTGGACAGTGAGAGAGAGAGACAGAGAGAGAAAGGTCTTCCTTTGCCGCTGGTTCACCCTCCAATGGCCGCCGCTGCAGCCGGTGCACCGCGCTGATCCTGGCAGGAGCCAGGAGCCAGGTGCTTTTCCTGGTCTCCCATGGGGTGCAGGGCCCAAGCACCTGGGCCATCCTCCACTGCACTCCCTGGCCATAGCAGAGAGCTGGCCTGGAAGAGGGGCAACCGGGACAGAATCCGGCGCCCCAACCGGGACTAGAACCCGGTGTGCCGGCGCCGCAAGGTGGAGGATTAACCTATTGAGCCACGGCGCCGGCTTAGTACTTTTGTATTTCAGAGTTCTTTTCCGGGGTAAGTGACCCAAATCTTTACTTCTAAAGGCTCAGTGTCTGTAATGTTCCTGCCTAACACACTGGCTATTGTCACTGGACCATAAGAATGAGGAATCTCTCCAATGTATACTTTGGGTTTTAGGAATAGTCCTCATTGTCCCTGTTGGGTACCAACAACCCAAGTTCTCCTTGGTAATAGGGATAAGTCAGTTCCTGCTAATGTAGAAATATCCTCTGCCTATTTCCTTAGTGGCTAAAGAAGTGCCAGAGAGCAGGAGATAGTTACAAATGTCAGTTTCCTTTCCCTAGTGGAAAGGGTTCTCCCTTTCTAGGGTTGAGTAGAAACTGGCTGAACCCTGTGTTGGGGAAGGGAAAGAAAATGTCCTGTAAATGAGTTTAATAGTAACAGGAGCCATCTCTACCTTCCCATCGATTCTCTAAAAAGCATGTTTATACTAGGTATGAAAAAAGGGCTAGCATATATCGCTTGCTGATTAGAAATTTATACCAGAACTTATGGTATAATCAGTCAATCTCAGAGGGTGGTGTCTAATTCCATCCCTGCAGCAGTAATGAAATATCCTGGACTGGGTAATTTATAAACAACAGAATTTTAGTGCTCACAGTTCTGGAGTTGGGAAGTCCAGATCAAGGTGTTTGCAGATTTGGTATCTGGTGAGGACTTTCTTCTTCAAAGGCGACTCCTCAGTGAATCCTACACGTTTGATAAGCAGAGGAGCTTCCTCAGATCTCTTTTATAAGGGCATGGATCCCAAGGTCCCACCTCTGTACACGATCACCATGGGGATTGGGTTTTAATGTATGAAGTAGGGAGGGGTGCACAAACATTCAGACCACAGCAGGTGGAGATTCCAAATCCCTGCCATACCTGAACCTCCAGCAACGCATCGCACAGTTCAACTGGCCAGCTGCTTCTCTGGCTGACAGAGTACCTGTAAGGTGAGTGAATGCCATAGGGCAATGCAATTCTCAGAATTCTTTTATTATCAAATCAGTTCTTTGGTTGTAAGTGATAGTGTTAGAATACCCTGATAGTGTAAGTTTAAAAGGGGGGTGGTGCTGGCAGAAGCAATGTCAGAGGGAAAACAAGTATGTCTCTGGAGTATTACCTATTTTGTGAGGACACATTGTTCTTGGCTCAATGTAACTAATAGGCCACTAGGATACTTTGCAGACCTCCTTAGAAATAGTGAAAAATCAGAGTCAGAGTTGACTGTT